GAACGCAACAGCGTACTGTTCATTTGCAACCTTAATCAAGTCCGCCAAGCTAAGCAATTGCAAATCAATTACACAACATATGACATTTGCCGCGACCAAGACACTCTGAAACCAGGGCATGGCCAGTCCGTAATGACACTGTCAAGGGAACAAGGCGTTGGCGCTCATCCGTTTTGGTATGCACAAGTTTTGGGTGCTTTCGTCATTCAGATACTCCATGTTGGTGCGGATGCTCGTAATCGCTCTCCTCAATCGATGGAATTCTTGTGGGTCCAGTGGCTCGGTGTAGTTCCACGCTACCGCTGGGGCTTCAAGGAAGGCCGGCTCCCAAAAGTCAGATTTATACCAGATTCCCCTGCTGCATTTGGTTTCCTCGACCCCTCTCTTGTCCTCTGAGCTTGCCATCTTATACCGGCCTTTGCTAATGGTCGTACGGATGATCTCCTGAGGCATGGCCCCACAGTTGCACGGCCATTTGGAGAAGTAGATGACTGGACCGCATTCTATGTTAACATGTGAGTCAGTGGATATGGTTGAAGACTCCTGATGATTGATTGCGCAACAGTTTTGCTGATCGGGATATGTTTGCACGCTTTGCATGCATTGGTGTCGGTCATCAAATTCAGTATAGTTTGCCAAATGCGACTGAGGATGAAAATTTCATAGGAGACGATGATGATGAACGTCTAGCTGAGGGCGATCTGGAACCAACTACAAGCAATGCTGGTGGGCAGATACTCGACTCTAATGTTGGCAATTGCCTGAATCAAGTTCTAGGCGATGAAACTGATAATGATAATGAAGAGGACGTTGAATCTGATGATGAAGAAGATATTGAATCCGATGCTCTGGATGATGAAGGCTGTAGCTCAGAGGATTACGGGGAATCTGAAGATGAGGGATCAGACTTTAAATTTTAGGGTCGACTTACTACTGTGTCTGTATGTGGCGCAACTTAAGTTGATTGTATTACCATGACATCCGTTCCTTGGTGGAGCATGGCCAAACAGCTCTAATCCTAGCCTTACATTTGAACTTTGAGATCACTCCTCTTGTTCGATCAGGTTAATGTTGTTACTAACCGGTACTGCAGCCCTGGGGATCCCTCGGCCCTCCGAGTCCGAGTCCTGCCAGTGAGAAATCAGCGCCGTGTGACCGTGCGTTACTACATTGTGACTTCTGTTTATTACTGCGACTTCGACTTATCTCAGGCTTGGTATATCAAGATTTTCACTTGTATTGTTGGGTGCCACCACCACTAACTGGTGAGCCTAGTAGTTCGACTTTATTGCCTCACCCATTGACATGACCACAGAACAATTCTCAAGTGATTGTTATCATAGTGCGCCGCATCGCAAATCCATTTTCGTTCATCAGAAGTCATCACCAACTCTGACAGAGGAACCTCAGGGATCGCCATTATGGCCAGGTCTGTTTTGGTGAGTACTTCAGTTAGTTGCAATAAACTGTCCTAAGGTATCAGTGAAGGAATCTCAGCGCAAGACTGCCCTTGGATGAACATGAATGAGGTCACCACCGTCAGCCACCCAAAATTGGCCAATCACCTCTATGTCATCATAATCTCTGTGAGGCACACATTGACAAGCTACTTGGGTGGAGGAGGTAGGCTGCCATAGGCACCCATTCATTTTTCAAACATCACCCGACCCGTTCATTATGGTGAGTTTGCGTCTCACATAATTTAGTAATTGCTTTCAAAGATATGTCATACAGGTCTGCTCTAAACGCCTTGTCGAAATTTTTTAAATCATTCCGCTGTATGTGGCACCTGCAGGATTGAGCTTCGACTTTGAGTGAGAAGTTGAACATGTTGTAGATTTTGGCTGATGAGTATCCACGCTCTCCGCAAAAGAGGTTAAAACCCTTCTTTTTGGACCCGCAGAGACAAAAATCGGATTATATTCAAAGTTCCATGACCTCACCATGTGTGAGCGTGGCTTTGCAAGCGCTGCTACCATTCGATTGGCATACATTCAGTCTATTGCTTTGGTATTCGCCTATGTTATGTGGTGCAGATTCACTACCTGCCTCGATGCGAGCAAGATGGGGTTGTGAGCTCGAGATGGGACATTAGCATGTCTCAATGTTTGTCGCTTGATTTGAGTGTGTGGCACTGTTCTCTGATCGCTTGTTTTTCAGGCTGCCACTGCTGCAAGGAGGCCAAGAGTGAAATTACTGCTGACGGTGCTTCTGTAAATGCTGAGAAAGCATGCCCAGGAACCGAGGGCTCTGCGAGCTCAGCTGACTACCCCAGCACAAGAAGGTATCTGTCATTGGCACAGCTAACAAGCAAAGGATCTAGCCGCAGATAATTCTTTGGCCCGTGAAGCAGCCGAAGCTGCAGCAGAAACCACCGCACCCTGTTACTCTCCATTGCATTCCAGGACATCGCATGAAGAACACCCAGTCGATACTTGCGCAGATACTTACACAATACTATTACTACTGGTACCACCTAATCCTCACTGAACCTCCCTTCAGAACAACCTTGCCGAACTCTGGGCCCTCCTCGACTTTGTCCTACCCAAGATATTCAACTCCATGAAGTCATTTGACGAGTCGTACAACACGCCATTCGCGAACTCGGGTACATGGGACAAGATCGAGTTGAACGAAGAGGAGGCTCTGCTCGTCATACGGCGGTTGCATGAGATGGAGAAGGTGATGAAAGTCGGCATGAGTGCGCACAGAGTCAGCTGTATAGGCAGATGAAGAAGCACAAATGATCGCCAATGAGAAGGATGTGAAGGGGTACATTGTTTTTGCTTTTGGTGGAGCGGGGAGGACATGGTGCTGATTTTTTTTGTTTTCTAGCGTGCGAAGGGTTTGAGCAATGATGCATTGGTTGGGTCGGCTGGCAAACTCGAGTCGCATATCCTTCCCAAGTTCTTTGCAATCCTTCCAATGTTTGTTGGTCAATCTCACGCATGGCTCAGCGCCTAGGCAAAAACCCAGAAGACTACCCCGATGCTAAATTTCAGCCTCATGTGCAAGTCGCTTTGAGATTAAAAGCAAAGGGTGGAAGCGCCCGTAACGGCGACGTTATACCCTATGTGTTCTGCGTCGCTCCTGGTGAAGAGACCGTGAAGACTGCACAAGCAGATCGCGCCAAGCATCCAGACGAAATCAAGAGGGCTGCAGGGGAACTTACCGTGGATTACGAGCACTACCTTGCTAACCAGGTCCTACCACCTATTGAGCGACTGTGTGAGCCTATTGAAGGGACAGATAGGGCACGGCTTGCTGAGTGCCTTGGTGAGCGTTGAAACACCGATGCCTGCAAACTAAACTCAACTCAACGTTTCTAAAAGGACTGGACCCGGGGCGTTATCGTATTAGTGGAAGCACGCCGGCCGGATCAACGCTCACAACATTAGATTCCCTCGTCTCTGATGCAGAGCGATTCCGCGACGTGGCCCCATTCCTTGTACGCTGCCGCGGGTGCGCAGGACAGATGGCGTTTCCTCCGATCTACGATAGAGATGTATGTGATCGCATCCCAATTTGTACTTAGGGCTGTCTGACATCGAACAGGCGTCGATTCTGTTGTCATCAGGGCCAACCTGCCCCGCGTGCAGTGCACGTAAGTGCGCCAATTCTTCATAGTATACATTGCTACAACGCTGACGGCTAGTATTTGGGGGTCAGAATCACTGAGACGGCACTATAAAATGATCGCCGGTAGTTCTCATCGAGTATGAGGCATCTACTCACCTTAATTCCGTCTCAATCCTGGCCAGAACCACCCCTTCACTCTTTTCCAGAACCCCAGCGAAGCGTCCGTCCCTTCCGCATTCGCCTCTGCATCTCGCTCTGCCCGAATCGCTGCATCTGCCCTAATCATTACATCCGTCCAGTGGCGCCTCCTCACTTGTCCGCAATAAACCGTTTTCGAGGCCATGGATCTTAAACGACGTCCTGTTAATCAATTATGCACACAATGAGTAACTGTAGCACTTACTATACTTTTTTTCCTTGGAGAATATGAACTTACTTCGATTGCAAGGTTCTGTGGTTTTTCGTAGCGCGCTTCTTTTCGACTACAACACGCCAAACAAATCAAGGTAAATAAGTTGCAAGTAACGCCAGAATTTACTGACTACCCTGCCGGCAGTGGGTCATCGTTACTGAACGCAGTTGGCCAATTCGTTTCGTGGTTGGAGTCGTACGACAGGATCTGTACGCCCAATAGGTACATAGGCTCGGAGACGGGTGCCTGCAGCAGGCGCTAAGGAGGTAGTCAGACTCGATGGCGCTCTGCTGGACGTTTTTGACATGGGCTTCGCTTTCCTTGTCAGTTCGCTAAAGCTAGTGTAGACGTTGTATTCCATTGTGACTCCTAGATGAATCGTTCCTTTCGTACTGGCAGATCCATACGGGACGCACTTGAATGGCATCGCACGCGTGACTTGAAGCTTGAAAGTCCCAGTACTGCTTACTCTCACCACACCAGCAGATATATGGGCTTATGGTACTTAGATATGCTTATTGTTTGATTTTTATCGATCTAGTCAAAGGCAGGTAAGCTATAACATTCATAGTGCGTGATCTCAGTGTACCCAAAGTCACTGTCTGACGACGGTCATGCTGGATTGCTATATAAAATGTTACTTTATCGCGCAATTCTGATGAAAAACTGTAGACGTCAGAACATTAGCTTGAAACCCAATATGGGTTCCTATTGGTATATTGAAAGAAAGCGGAAATAAAGAAGAGACTATGGATCAGTAATATGACTTGTGGTTGGTACGGTAGAGTGTAGAATTACGAACACTAGCTAGAGAGCTGATAATGGCTTATATGGGGTTCACCAAAGGGCAAGCAAAAGACAAAAGAGATCACAGATCAGGCATCTAATACGTGTTTCACAAGCCACCGCATAGCCATATATTGGCAAAACATATTTGCTTGACCTTATAAGGTAAATATGGCCATATCATGCTTTGTGGTTTTTTGTGATGAAATCTATTCTGCCTTGCCTGTGACTTCGCGAAGTGCTTCGAAGTGTACTTCGAATCACTTCGTTGACAACGAAATCTACTGAAGTGTGTCAAATTTCCACTTCAGTTCGCCTCGCGGCAACACTAGTCGACATAAGTACCCGTGACGTCGAATTCACAAATCATCTGGGATTCCATTTTCACCCCTCTTGACACGCCCCCCACAGAATGCAAGGTAAATATAATACTAATACAGTTCTGGAGCTCTGGTATCTCCGAGCTGATCATCTACTGGGTGAAGGAAGCTTTGTACGCCCATGCTGTCCTCCGTGATTCTATGCCTAACATTTTCTCAGGGACGGGTGTACAAGGCCACTCGAGTAGTTACCGGTCAGATCATGGCCGTCAAGAAATCCCGAGCATCTCTCGCACTCAAAACCACCCTCTTAAATCATGAGCGACGGGTTCTGCAGCGTCTGCAGGGGCACCCTTCCATCACAAGAGTCATCGCCTATGGACGATTGGTGCATTTCGAGTATCTTGCTATGCAGCTCCTCGGGATGAACCTTAGTGAAGTGCGAGGACGCCGTCCTCTACCAGCAGTAAACACCTTAGCAGTTGCTGATCAGATGGTATGTAGCATGAGCCATCTCTAGTCCATTAGTAGGCTCATACTGACCTTGCGCTAGATCTCGGCTCTCGAACACATACACGCGAACAAACTTGTCCACTGCGACATCAAACCTGGGAACATCATCCTCCACCCCACCGATTCCAAGCGCCTGTATCTGGTCGACTATGGGCTCACCCGGGCTATTGCACATGAGGTCCAACCCAACCTCTCTACAGATGCACCCCTGACATCACATGTCATTGGTACTCTGGAGTACGTCAGCTTGAACATCCATCGTCACATTCGTAAGTTGGCCCAGTATCATATGCTTCCCTCTTACACGACAAGGCTGTAGGATCAGCTCCGCGTGACGATATAGAATCTCTTGGCTATACGCTCCTTAGTCTTGCTCGGGGCGACCTTCCATGGACATACAACACTCAACATGGAACAAGAAAGAATCAGGAAGTTCAAGTTCGGATCAAAAAGCAGCAATTTAGCGGTGCTGACATGGCCCCCGACGGACTTCCTTGCTTTGGTCAAATGATTGACTACGCACGCAGCTTGAAGTTTAATCAGCTACCGGACTACGAGCTGCTGCGTTTGCAAATACAAGAAACCCGTGCACTAGCTGGCTTGCTGGACCCTGCTAAAATCAACTGGAATATTCCGGCTGAGGTTTCGTCAGGTCTGCTGATTTTCCTTGGACATATTTTTTCGACTGAGCGCTCCTCTATAGACTCTCCGTCGTGTCCCCTTACATGTGTGGATACCATTTCCCTCTGCCCTGGACAGATTGTATGCTGCCAAATCGATGTTCGCACAACACTTGAGGGCTACAGCGCTCGAGCGGGTGATCCATTGTTCTGGCGGGATCCCAGTCTCTCCCCTGAAAAATGGGACACAGCGGTCCGCCCTGCGGTTGTTCTCCGGGTTGGAATAGACGAACGAAGCAAACTCCAGAGTATTGTAGTCATCTGTATCGGACAAGGAGTCCTCTCTTCCACTGACATGAATGTTGTTCCCATTTCCTCCTCGCCTACTGAGGGCAGTTTGACACCGAGTCCTGCTTGGCCGCTCTCTGACTCCTACTGCTACATATTTCCTTGGTTGATGCGATTTGTGTGCTACCCGGGCGAGGAACTCCATATTCTTCTCGTACTTAAACCAGCAAAGCTGATTTGATCTATCTAGGTCCAACCTGTTCCTTCTCCCTGGACGATTAGCAAAACCGACGTCGATCTCCTCCTCCAGAAGTTTGATAATCACACCTTCGCAGACACGTTACCGTTGCGGGACCGATTCATTACTTTCCAATATCCCTTTGTCAAGATCACTGCATTTGGCCCGGATTTTTCTCGTGGCAATGGGGAAGGCATGCCCATCGAATGGGGAGGATACAGAGCATGGTACGATGAGTGGCAAACTGTCAAGGAGCGTCGCGAGAAACTTGACCAGGGCTCAAGCGATTATAAACGCGCTCTGCCCGAAAGTTATTTTGCCTCGGACTTTGAGCAATGGGGGGGTTATCAGATGGAACTGAGCTCATCTGTGACGGCGGGTGTGGATGACAACGGTGACACTGGGTTGCCTGTGCTGCCCGTGATCGCTGAAGTCGAGATGTCTCGCGATGTGCGTTTTACTATGTAGAGCTTCGTGATGCCATACTGTACAATTTGCATGCCAACCTGCAACTGATACTCGTACCTCGAGCTCTCAATTCCCAACTTTCTGGTTGAGTTCTGTCGACTTGAGATGTCACCAACTTAAGTGATTACGTGATCTATACACTCCGAGGAGATCGCGATGCCAAGCTAACGCCGTGCGTAAGTTCAAACATACTATCCCTTCCACTGCAATTGGCACCCCACAGAAGTCAGCACTTTCACAAAACTCGTATTTCTAGCTACTTAAACACAAAATTCTTAACATCTGTATCATTCTCTCTCTAATGCAACTCATTATGAGGTTGAACGACCACAATTAAGGTCCAGTTTGGACAACGACTCCGGGTTCGAAATTTCTGATTCAAACTGCACGTGATGATTGCACGTGATAGGTCCAGATGGCGTGTAAGTATATAGATAGATAATTGGCATATATATGCGTGTCATATCCATCACTGCCATGGATATTGAAGCGCAAATGCAACACGATCGACGACACAAAATCGTGGTCATTATCATCACCATTGTGGTCGCCCAGGTCACACATCTATACCATCTTTTATTCTTATCCTGCGCTGAAAGAATTCCTTACCACACATCCATACTTACCGGGCAAGCATGGGTATATGAACTGATCAGTGGTCATCCAGACAGGATCAGACACAATTTCGGCGTCGACCTTCAAATTTTCGATGAGCTGTTAGCGGTTCTTAACCGACACGGCTTTGTCCAGTCCCGGAATGGGGTAAGCGTGTCAGAGCAACTCGGCATTTTTCTCTACACATGTGTTACTGGACTTTCGTCTCGCCATGTCAGAGAAAGGTTCCAGCGCTCTCCCGATACGATTACAAGGTAAGTGCCTAACTTTTGATATAACTATTGTTCAAGTTGTGCTGATTTCTGCAGATATTTTAAGCACCTACTCATGTTCTTTTCATCGGCTCCCTTCTACACCTCGAACGTCCGCTTCCCGGACCAAAACACCCCACTTTCTGCGGCAATTCACGCTGACCCTCAATTCCGATTCTTCGACCACTGTATTGGTGCTGTTGATGGCACCCACATCCGCATTTTTGCGCCGCTTGAAGACCATGTTGTCCTGCGCAACAGGAAAGGGTTTTTATCGCAGAACTGCTTGTTTATCTGCGACCTCGACTTCTTTTTCATTTACTCACTCACAGGGTGGGACGGCTCAGTTGCCGATGCTTCCCTTTGGAATGACGCATGCTCTCATGATTTGCGTGTGCCCGAAGACAAGTATCTTCTAGCCGATGCCGGCTTTGGTACATGCAACGCACTTCTCGTGCCTTATCGAGGTGTCCGCTACCACCTGAAGGAATGGCGTCAAGCTAATCTCGCATGAGTTCCTTTTTTCTTTTGTCAGTCTGTCTATTAATTTTTTTCTAGGCCTAAAGACCCGAAAGAGTTGTTCAACTTGCGACACGCTGCACTTCGCAACATCATCGAGCGGATATTTGGCGTCATGAAACGACAATGGCGCATCTTAATATGCGCGCCTGAATACTCCATGGACATCCAGTCCCGGATCCCAGCGGCGCTTTGCGCCATTCACAACTTCATGCGAAGAAACAACGGTGATATATTTGATCTTGCCCTCGAGTATGGGCATGATCTAGCAGAGGATGATGGTGTTGGATCTGGCGCACATTCAGAGGGACCGGCGGATGCTGCTGAGCGCAGACGCGCAGATGCTCGTAGGGACGGAATCACGCAAGCAATGTGGACTGACTATCTCGCAGAACATGCACGAAGGGGACTCCCATTGCCATAGTTGTAGGTAATACATGAATTTTGTACTACGAAATGATCTGTACGCCGCTACAATACAATCATATATTCTTGTGAGTCAATTGATCACCGTGGTGCACCACCGCAAAGGACTCGCTTCTCTTCCAACCACTCAAGCCTCGTCACCTCATCCAACGAGTAGAAAATGATCGCCTGGTTCTCGTGTTCAGCTAGAAAGTTGGCAATGCCCAAGCGCTCTTTGCTCGTGAGATCTGTATATTTATTGAGGAGGGAAATGGTGCTTCCAACATGTGTGGAAGGCTGAGGCTGTGGCTGCACTGGCGGCAGCGCCGGCGCTAATACAAGAGTCTTCTGCATCTCACGTACTACTTCTACGAGGCTTTTCATCGTTTCGGTGCCCTCCTGCTGTGCCAATAGCGTGGCAGATGGTGGCTGGCCTCGTTTCTGAGAGCCTGCAGCTGACGCAGGCGAAAGCGCGCTGCGTTTTCGCTTTCCCCGGCTTATACTTGTCCATGCCGAGCCACTGGCAGAGGTAGACCCTTCCGTGGAAGGAGCGAGAAAGGTAGATGGAGGGTCCACTGAGGATGGTGGCGGGTACACTGAGGATGGTGGCGGGTACACTGAGGATGATGGCGGGTACACTGAGGATGGTGGCGGGTCCACTGAGGATGGTGGCGGGCCCACTGAGGATGGTGGCGGCCCTGGAAGTGTGTTGTCTGTGGCTGTGGGGATGGAGGATGGTGTGGTGGCATTGGTGGCAGTGGTAGGTCAGAAGACGTGAGAGCCTTTCGACTTGCTTGGCATCAACTGCTGCATGATATCGAAGTGGTCGAAGCCCTTCATCATGAAGGGCCTCGCGTGAGGATGCGACTGAAAACAATATCAGTAGAGGGGTATGCATGCAGTCTATTTGCGATGACGTACCTTTATAAAGCGTGCCCATACGTCATCCTTTTTGTCTGTGATACCCGCTCCATGATCATCACTCCAAGTAAAACCAGAAGTACACTTAATTTCAACAACACTTTGGTATGCTTTCTTTAACTATAAAAATATATGTCATTGATTTGCTGGCGGCTGAAAGTTCACTGGAAACATACCGATGTCCACTTATTTTTGCAAACTGTGCCAACCTTTTCTGCGCCCCTTTGATGCGGGTGTTTTATCTTGAGGTGCGCATATGCTTGATTGAAGGTGGGCGCCTTGAAGCCCCCATCGCCTGATGCAGGAAGGGCCTGCAGAAGGAACTCAAGAAAGGTGGTTTCTTCTGCCTTCATCCACACCGCAGGAGCCTTCCTGGTCGTTCCGCAAGATGCAGCAGCCGATGTCACATCTATAGTACCCCGGGAACATAAGGAATGCGAAGAGCCGCCGCTTGATTTATCAGACATTGTGGTGATACTAGAGTATCTTTTGTTTTATTAGATAATAGATGCTTATTAACGCAGTCAGGTCATCACGTGCGGTTTGAGCCAGAAATTTTGAACCCGGAGTCGTTGTCCAAACTGGACCTAAAGCAGAATTGAGTGAGATAGTCGAAAGTGCCAAAGTCATGCAGAAATGTCACCTGCCAATACATGCCATGATGGAGTTTCAAATTGCACCCCCACTTTGGAAGTGCCGACTGGTGCAGTGCTGTGCGTCTGCATTCACAAGTTTAAGTTAGCAGTGGTGGATGAGGAAAGCTGCGAGCTTCGTCAGACCTGACATATGAGCCATGCATTCAGGTTTCAATTCAGAGAATTGCAAATGGGTTATATAAATACATTGCAGCTGCAGCAAAAGAACAGAATGTGAGTCGTGTTTCGTCATGTTACAATGCACATGGTCTCGACTCTCCCTAGATATCCACCTCGATTTTACAACTACGGCACTAATAACAGTCGCCCTCATACTTAGATATATCTACTATTCAATACTATACTTGCTCATTTGAATGAATACTAATTGACCTTGCCCACTTGCTTGACTGCCAAACTGACTTTAAAATTGGCCTACATGACATATCATGACTCACAGTGACATTTGCGTGACTGCTGACTTCTGTGGGGTGCCAATTGCAGTGGAAGGGATAGTATTCTTACATCTGCAAAACCACTGAAATGAATGCTTAACGTATGCGCATTACGGACACTTACAAACACTTACGACCTCAGTAGTGCACTCATGCGATTGGTGGAATTTTATCAGCGAGTTGATTATCTTATCAATCCAAAAAGCATGTAATCAAGACCAAGATCATTGCGCCTGCAGTACTGTGTTTACAAATGATGCTACTACTGGAAAGGATAGTGACACAAGATCAATGCTAAAGAGTATACTCAGTGTCCAATGATTCATGCAACACATTATAAATCTCCTTATCCACATAACAGTTGAGATAAAAGTGGTCATAGTGCTCTTGAGACATTGTTAAAGTCAAGGAACGGTTAACCTTTTCTCCATACACCAGGACCAACTCCACAGGGTGTGTTACCTCTGTTATGGGAATGACAAACCTGGTGCGGGTTTTGGGCTGCATTTCAGGTGCATAGACCCTCTTGAGCTTCTACAATCAAGTGTCCTCTAGATCCTCGGGGGTTGTTATGATATGAAAAGGTTGGACATAGAGGAGGGGGTGCGACAAGAAGTCAGGAAGTTTTGCAGTTGAGCACTGGGGTGGAGCCAGCTGGAATACAATGCGAACTTGAGCAACTGAAACTAGATAATAGATGTTGTCAGTACATGGATGATAGGTAGTATAAACCAACTTACAACCAGGGTTATTTGCACCTTGATTCATGTCTAAGAAAATCACATCACAATTTTCTGGGTGGAAATGCATCACTTAGCAGTTTGGCTTGGACAGCTTGGCTGGGCATGATGATTGATGGGTGAAATGTCAAATGTAGTTGGATACAAAACTTGGACCAAACCTTGATGGTGCTAAACATCCAGAAGCACTCTTCGACATCATCTGTGTATTGCTAAATGTATTCTGTGACCTTGTGATGAAGGTCAGGGAGTCCATAGGTGTGCATCACATCAGGCCAGCTGAGATTTGAGCCATCAGGAGAGCGAGTGACGGTAAGTGCTGCATTGGCACTATTGGAGAGGATGCCCTTGGTAAAATGATTGTGTATGGGCCTGGGGGCACTGAAATGATGATGTGCGTCGGGGGTGACATGAGAAACCCATGCCATTGTTGGGTCCGTGGCGCATACTTCTTCATCTTCATCGACAACGGCATTAATGAGAGCTTGGTTGTGTTGGCAAAGGAGGAGATATAGATTGAACTGCTGCATCTACTCTTCACGATCAAGGATGTGGACGATCTGCTCCCCGAAATCTTTCTGTTTGCTCATTCTCATGAACGGGCTTTTGCAATGTGTGATTAGAAGCTGTTCACTAACATCCACAGTGAGCTGAACAAGTCCACTGTTGTTCCTAATGGCCTCTGCGAAGCTCAGAAGGAGTTTGAGTTTTGGTATGTAGAAATCCTCCTTGATGTTGCTTTTCCCCTGACGTGCTTCAGCTTCCAGGATCGCCACCTTGCAATTGTGGAATTTGTTAAGTGACACTTGCATTGCTTCGATGCTTGATTCTGTATGGATGGGGTTCTGTGCTTGATACATGAAGTTGATGAGAGCACGAATAGGTCGCACAAATTCAGGAGGAGCAGCACCCGAAATCATGGCAACAATGGTGCACTGGATATCATGATGCTCTCATCCAGTCATCTGTGCCACATGTGAGATCCCAGAAGAGAAGTGATGCATGCCAATACATTTGTGGTGGCTCTTGTAGCATGCATCGAGCTCGTCATTTCCAACCACTTCTTTACACCATTGCAACAGATGGTTGAAGAAGAATTTGTGCAGGGTGTGAAGGATTTCAGGGACAAGGAAAATAAAAACCTGGGTAAGTGGCCAGTCATGCCAGAATGGAAGATGAACACCTAGAAGGAGAAGCTCCTTTGACTTCTTCTGGAACTGGTCAAGATTCCATGGGTCAATTGACTGACTGAGAATGTACAATAGCTCCAGAGTATGCTCTGCTGTGCAAGGATTGTGATGGTTGGTATCCCTGAATTGCTTGTGAGTGGCCAGTGTGATGGGGGAAGCATTCTTTGACACAGAGGCGATCATCAACTGTTCTGGAAGGTCTGCGATCCAAGTGACAAGAGGGGTAAAGCAATATCGAAGTTCACCAAGGGGTCAGGCATAAACTTGCTGACTTTTGCTGCGACTTTTAAGCCAGCAAAGACTAAGTCGACACACTTGTGCCAGACATGCGACTTCAGAATCGTATGATAATTGGGATGTGTTTCAAACTTTGGGATTGGCATATACACCACACATCGCCAAGTGTGGGATGTAGCCTTCATATGAACATCAGAGTTGATGTTGCCAATAGTGAGGAAAAGAGGGTGCATTTCCAGACCGCCTGTCTGTCTTGTGACTGGTGTTTTGTCTGATGCAGCTATTATGGGCACAATAGTCGCCCCTTCAGGCAGCTGATCCTGGAATAGTCGATAGTTAAGGATGTGACAATACAGAAAAAAAATACATACTTGTGTCGAGAATGCTCAATTTGCTGTGAATCACTCTCCATATTCTCACTGCGCACCCTCCCAGACATGCAGAGGGTCAAAAGACATATTTTGAGCAAAAATAGGGTTTCCAAAGAGGCTCTTCGTGACTTCAAGGCCATCACACCATATTAGATGAATGGGAGTGTCAGTGGTGTACCCCTGGACTTCAAACTGTGTGGTCTGCCATTTTGGCCCAGGAGGTAACAGGTCCATCCAGGACAATAGTTCTCGAGCACATGAGAATGCGGGCTTATCTTTCACATTGAACTGATAATGTAGAGTTAGCGAGTAGTATATGGACAGATCATGTAAAATACCCAAGACAGTTTGAGAAAATGATCAATCTCTGTCTGTGTCATGGTCTCAACTAAAAATTTACTGAGTGACCACTCTCCATGATTATGAAAGGGCCAGTACATATTTTTCACCCATTTTGGCTCATGTTCATCGTTCTGAATTTACTGAAATATGTTCTGTCCTTCAATAGGGAACTTCAATGAGGCTAAGAAGTATAGCTTTATGACACCTCCCTACAGTTTAGTCATATTCCCACACCCTGGCTCATAATAAAGCAATTACATGAAAAGTTACAAACATTGAGACACTTTTTTGAGCCACTGTATTGAGCAGTCTGATTGAATTCATCTTCCATGGTCTCATTGACTCCGAACTGCCCATTGTGATGTCTGTGGATTCCACGTAATGCAGGGGGCTTGGTCATGTGTCCTTCAGATCCTGATGGCCAGCATGTCTCAGTTGGGTGGTTTAGGTGAGAAAGTAAGTCATGAATGGATGGAAAATGTTGTTGGCAGTCTGAGTTAGGGCAGGTCATGGCAGGATCTCTTGCATTATCAGAAATGATCTGCTGAGGCCAAGGAATATCGTCCGCTGGAACATTGTTCATTGTGGTTCAAGCATTCCAGATCCGTGTTGATTGCATTGAATTCCTCCAAGTATTTTAAACTCCGATACTTCCTGCTTTTGACTGCTGACAGTCGGTACACATATCATGATATCTACTCGCCAACACTGACACACACCAAACCTGGTTTGTGCATGGTCATGGCTACTTTTCATCCTTGAAGTTCCCTATTTTGCTCTATGAAATTATCATGAATTTTCTACACTACCTTAAGACTTTACATTACAATTTAACAGTTCAAATTAATACTTATGTGGTTCAAAGATTGGTTACAAACATACCACAATGTCTCACAACTTTCTGTATTAGTCAGATGGAGAAAGTTTATAGATGAGAATATGTGAGAAGTAAAAAAGTCATCATGGAACATCTTGACGATGGAGTCACTATGAGTCATATTTCCTTATTTAGATAGTCACACAGCCACATTTAGAGTAGTATATAAGGGATTCTGTTTCCCCTCTGAATAATAGATGCCCTCTTCTTGAAAGATTCCCTTTTGAGAAGAAAGGAAGATTTGAATATCTTCTTAAGTTTCTCACCCTATATTTGAGTGAATATCTGAGTGAATATTAGTTTATTCCCTCCATTCATTTATCATCATTTCCCACAATATACTGATCTTCTGAGGCCTACCTTGAGCCAATCCTTAAATTACACTAGCTGGTACATGGTTATCAGTCGTCTAGTTGTAGTTTCGTCATTCTCTTTATGACACAGGATATCTTTTCTGTGGGGAGAATCTACATATTTCTTAACAATCAGAAAGGAAGACAAATAAGACTAGCACTTTACTCAACAATATTAAGAGCTTGGCTGCTTTAAGGCTACACCAAGAGGGTGTACTCTGTTCTGACCTGTGTCATACTCATTGTGCAGTACCTGAGCAGCAGAGAAGTTAGTTTTGAAGCCACATATTTAGGTTGATTCAATTGTGTTAGAGGCTTAGTTTGATCTCCTCTGATTTTGAGAATAGGAAGTGTTTACAAGATAATACTCTGATTCATTGCATATCATTGCCATCCATTATTATCATCTTATCCTTGCATATCTTTGCAACCATCTTCTTGTAACATCATAGCACTGCATCAAGCTAGTTATTGATTTGGCTACACCATCGTCCATCAATCCTTATCATCTGTGTCCTAAGTACTGCATCAAGCCAGTTAACGGATCAACAACTTTCAAGAGCTTAAGCACTGCATCAAGTCAGTTACCAGTTACCATTCCTGAGATTTCCCTGATCTCACCTCTTTCAAAGTCATTTGGAATTTGCTTTTTTTGACAAACCCAACTTTTACACCTCCTCCCACAAACAACCACATTATCAACCATTGGTATTTGTCTGAACCATTGACTGTGGAGGATAGTGAGAACTGGTGATTTTTATTGCCAATCACATCCTAGTAGGACAACACCATGCATCTCCCACCCAGAGTTCATCTCCCCCCCAGAGCTCATCTCCTCCATCAAGCGACAGACCACTTACCCCACCCAACAATTTAAATGATTGTTTTGTGAGCCCTCACATCATTCAGGATTATACTCCATCTCTTCTAGCCCATGGCATTGTCCGCCACCTCTCTCAGTATACAACCTGTGCAAAATCATAATTTACTCCTTATGCACGCCCTGCTGGGCAAAGTGCACCAGAATTGCGCTGGACAAGGAGGTCAATACTCAGGAATGATCACACTGATATATCATTAACTGATGCAAAGGCGGTATGTTCAATGCTTATCTATCTTATGGTGTGGCATTTAATAAGAATGAACAGGCTGCTGCTATTTTTCGATGTGGCTTGCAGAGCATGGATAAGGAGGCTATCACACAAGGTGTTTCTGCAAAGCAAGTGACTCGTAAAAAGTCATGCTTGCATCTCCTTATGACTGCATGGGAGATAGAGGAGACTGAGCATCATAAAAGACTTCTTGACCTACTTCAGCAGAAGAATGCTCGGGAATACGTTGCAGCATCTAATGAAGCTCACCTGTTCAAAAGGTTCATGACCCACCATCACACAAACCAGCTTGAAGATGACTTTGACTTTGATGTTGGAACTTACAAGGAGGAGCTACAAGCATTCAGTGTTTCAGAGGAGCAATTAAATTAACTCGAGGCCTTTGCAGTCAATCACAACTTCCATGACCCCAACCAGCTGATCACCAAGGATAAATATTCCATGGACCCCTTTGTCAATGATGCTGAATCAGATGACGACGACAAAGACTGGGACGAGCCCATATCAGAAGTTAGTTCTGACAGATCGGGCGTCAAAGGTGAAGGGTTTGCCTTGGAAGCGAGTTTTTGAGGTAACCCCCTCATTTTTCTACTAATATTTAAGTGCTTACATTTATTTCTACAGTGATCAAGTATATATCAATACCATGTTCTTAACCGATCTGCATGTAGCTTGGGGTTCCACTGTTTACCCTTCTATTTCCCGACAATTCAGTGTACTGCATATGACATGTTTGTGTCTCGTGTTTCAACAACATGTAGACAGTGTTTCCCTTCTTGTATCAAATATTGTAGCGCTTGACTGATCACACCTGTTATAATTACATGTTCACCATGAGTGTTCAGACTGAATTCTAGCTTCCACCCTCAATTTGCTGCCTCAATGAAACATGTGTTTGATTTGTCAATGGCCAGTGCCACTATAAATTTAGTCCTGTTCCATTTTCCCCTCAGCTTTTCCAGCTCTCTCTAAGTATGCCTCCCAAGAAGACATCAAAGGGAAAGTGGAAGTCAAAGGTATGATATCAATTATTCATCACTGCATCACTACAAACTAACAAATTTCTAGCAATTACTAAAATAACTGGAGTCCACAGGGAAGAACCCATGTGGAAATACTGCTAGCGCTCAGATTGGACTGGCCATGGAGCATCCGGTAGCACCATCCAGACTGGCTATGCAGCCACCAGCCATGCCCCCCCCGCACAACCAAGGCCGGTGCCATATGTCAATCCCTGCAGCAGGGGCTACCATATATGTACGATATGACAGTTGGTCCATCAATGGCATTGTATGCATGGTTCCCACAGCAGCGCCCCACACGGATGAACCTTCCTAGCTAGGACATGATGGGCAGCCCATCCTCAGTTCGTGCAGCAGTGGCTTCCACAGATGTCAGACCTCCCTAGCTGGGACATGATGGCAGGCCCATTGACCATAACACCTATGCAATTTCTGCCATGGATGGCCCTGCAGATACCTCCCTCTAACTAGCAATTGATAGCTGGCCCATCAACCATACCACCTGCTTGATTTCAGCAGCAGATACCCACACAGTCCACTACCTGTGTGCAGACTCCCATGCTCAATGTGGAAGGAGTCCACCAGGCTGTCAAGAGCTACAGGTCAGGCCTGAGGATGTGGCCAGGCTACAGTGACACATTGGTATGTGTCACATAATTCAGTACTTTATTTTCGACTTAGTTGGACAGCCAAAGGTTGAGAATCGATCCAGTTAGGCGGGCCATCCAACGTGGGCCCATGTGTGCTTATACACGGATGGGCCCACAGTGTGGAATAGCGCCCATGCTAGCGGGTGGGCCAAGTGTCGATGCCATAGCATGAATGGGACAATTGTAATGGGCCACAAGGTACATGGGCCCAGTTATATATCTCGGAAGGGGGGTACAGATGGGCCCAGTTATATATCTCAGAAGGGGGGTACGGATGGGCCTAGCTACTTATTCTTGGGGAAATTTGATGTCGGAAGAGCCAACAGGAAAATTTTGAGCCCATAATAGTATCAGGCATGGCTGGCGAATGGGCTCAGCTCGTATCGGAATAGCTTACGGATGAGCCCAGCTGGTTATTGACAGTATCGGAAGAGGGCACAAGTGAGCCTACCAGTTATTCCTGGGCCCATCACAATACTGAGAAGGGTTAGTGGATGGGCCAACTGGTTATTTTGGGCCCAGTAGATACCAATTCAGTGTGCGGATAGGTCAAATATGCAAGACCTGGCCTGGCACATAACAAATTCAGGTGCAGATCGGCTCAGTACACAAGCATCCGGAAGGGCCCAATTGGTCCTCACATTCAATATGCGGATCGGTCCGGCTGGTAAGGTTTAGGCCCAGTGCACCAATATCCAAAAGGCCCGAACTGGCCCAGCACATGCACATTCCCGCAGATTGGGCCAGTCAAGGTGGGCCCCAATATGCAGGCAAGTCGGGTGGGCCTACCATGAAGGAATTCCCGGTAGTGACACATACTACAGTGACCTATCTCTGTATAATACGAGGGAACGGACGTGCATAATATCCCGTATGATACGGGCCAGCGGACCATGGGCCCATGATAAAAATATTCTCGACTATGACAGATGGGCCGGGAGGCAAATTATTCCCGATGGAGGCGGGTGGGCCCATGCAGGGAATATATAGAGTAGATGAGTGGGCCGATGTAAATGAATATTAGGTAGACGGGTGGGCCGAGGTAGCTGGATATTATGCAGATGGGTGTATTAAGGTAGATGTGTATGAGATAGATGGGTAGGTACTTGTTATCACATTCATGGGTGGGCCCAGACACATATTAAATTAGACGGGTGGGCTGAGGGTATTATAAAATATTGTATTATACGGATGGGCCCAGACGCATATTAATTAGACCGGTGGGCCAAAGGTGTTGTATGGGATGTTGTATTAGACGGGTGGGCCGAGGGTGGTATACAATATAGATGGGTGGGCCCATGTGTATCATAATTGTAGACATGATGGAGCTGAGGTAGTTGTACATCAACCAAATCAGAGGAGGTAATAAATCAAAGTTACCAAGTTCCTGGAGCATCAGGTGATCTCCTGACATGGCAGTGCGAAGCTTGTGTTGCCCAATGAGACGCCAAGTTCCGGCCACCAGAATTTGAGTCAACTGTACCGAGTTCCGAGTTCCGGGACCCGGAACTCACCACATAAGTTGGTTAATACTTTTTGATGGTGCACAGGTTGTCTTGCAGAATGTGGAATCCGGGGTGCGAAGCTTGTGTTGCCCTACGAGAAGCCAAGTTCCGACCACCAGAATTGGAGT